ACTCACAACACACCATGTATGTAAATATTGAATTTTTTATTAAAAAATGAGCAACTTTTACCCCAAATCAGGCAAAGCAGACAGGCAGCTTGAGTTGCTCACAGAATCATTCAGTGATCTATCGGTCATCGGCTAGCTCAGTCTCTCAAATTTGCTTGCCTTGAGTCTGCACTGAATAATAGAACCTTCAGTCCTAAGGGAGGTTTGGCTGTGCTTAAAAGCAAAGCCGAAGATCTAAAGACTAGCTAGAAATCAAGAAAGCCAACCATTTCCTGCTTCCTAGCTAATCTAAATCTCCTGGCACAGCAGAACAGATGATGGTTGGAAAAAAGAAAAATAGCAACTTAGCAGGCAAGTTTGCTGGGTAAGGACTGAGTGGGCGGAGAGGGTTCCCGTGGGCCATGTGGGAGGCGCAGCCTTGTGTTTCTGCACAGCCTGGATTAATTGCTTTGGGGGGTGCTCTGCGGCTGAGATTTCTCTGCGGCCCACCAAAATTTTCTCACAGCCCACCAGTGGGCCGCGGCCCACCAGTTGGCCGCGGCCCACCAGTTGGCGACTGCTGTTCTAGAGCAAAGCAGGAGAAACCTACCTACAGACAGAACCACAGAGACAAAGACCATGGCAATGATCATTCTTATTTGAGTATGTTCTCCCGCTATGTTGCAATTTTTTCAGAGCTACATGAAGATATTTTAAATCTCCCACATACATTAACAATTGTACTTCTAGATAATTGTAACTTCTTTTTGCTGACATTTTGCCTTTGGTACCATGACATCTTCAGTGTTTTTATTCCATGTTGATTATATGCATAATATTTTGAAGCTTCCAAGCAGCTTTTTCATTTTTGCAAAGATTTGAGACTACATTTAGATTTGCTTTGAGTACAAGATAAATGTGCTTTTTTCATTACTGGAAGGCATGCAGTATGGCTCTTACGTGCCAAAAGCTTAGACAGCCTTGGGATTATAAAGTTATTTTACTGGAATTTCAATCTGAAGTTTATCAGAAAGTATTACAAATATAATGCATAAACTTTAAGTGCTTTTGGGTAAACAAAGCAAGACTCCTGTTAGCATGCAGGCACTTAAGTTTGTCCTATTTCACTTGCCGTATTTTCTCTTGAGAACATTCAACATTAGAATTAGATCTTTTTTTTCAAGAGCTCTGAGCAGCACACACCATTGCCTACATCAAGCATCACAATCTGTGAACTAAATTTCAAGAAGAAATGATGAGAAATCTGCACTTGCTGCAAAAGGAAGAATAAAAGGATTTTTCTGACTGAATTGGAATTTAAAGTACTGTTGTTGGTTTTTTTTTTACTTTTGTCCTGTGGCAAACAGAGCCCATCCTGGGGAAAAGCTGGAAGGTAAATTTTATGTAAGCTTGGAAAATCTAAAAGATACAAGGAGTAATAAGTCCCTATTTTTTATTCTCTCTTTTTATCGAAGGTGGGTGTGTTCCCTTTACATTTGATTCCATCTGAACCTCATATAAGTGCTCCCCCACTAAATTACTATTAGGGAGGGCATACCTCAATCTCCTAGAATATAAAATAGGTTTATAATTATTGCTTGGTTTTTATTCTGTTTTAATGGTCAGTTATTGTGGTTTGATGGCTGCAGGTGTGGATAGCTGAGGTCTTGGAGAGCAAGGACTCAGATGAGGGGCCTGTGTGTGATGCAGGGATGGGGCCAGGACCATCAGGAAGTGGGGTGCTGCCTTCGGAGATTGTGGAGGCAGGCAGCAGTGAGGAAGAGGCCCCTGAGGAACCTGTGCCCAGTGCATGTGCACGTAGGGCTGCTCGAAGGAAAGAGCAGCTGCAGCAGCACGGGCAACTCGGGAGTAAGGCTGCAAGGTGATGGCCTCTCCAATAAGAGATAAAAGCCAGCTGAGAAACTGGAGTTCTTGGCGGGAAGCAAAGTAGTTTTTGCACTCAAGCCTTGTGGACATTCAGAATATCTTGGTTGGTGTTGGAGACTCCTTGTGTTTGAAATATTTCTTAGTAACTTTATCTAGTATTCTTGGCACCCTTGCACCACCTTGGCAAGGCTCGTTCTTATCAGAGATAATTAATTTGAAACAGCCTTTTAACCGTGGAGGAACGGAATTTGTAAAGAATCATTAAGTTTTTGCTGTTACCTCTATTTCATGTTTGTTTCCTTGGAACAAGGTTTGAGTCAAAACAATAATGTACATGAGATGGACTGTTTCATCAATTTATCAAATAAAGAAAACAAGGTTAATAAAATAATACAATCAAATAATATATTTTGTAATAAAATGGACATCAATAATACATGAATTGAGGTGTTGGGAATTTTGTAGTGATCAATTCCCAGAGGCCTTCAATAACGTTTTGCAAGCCATGAGAGGGAGCCACAATTGCCTCAGGGGGCAACTTGTTCCAAAGGTAGTTAGTTCTCCCAACAGCAGGGTTCCCTTTTCAATTAAATCTCACAATGGAAGTGGAACTGGTGGTCCAGGTCAAATGAGCAAAAATATTGGGGAAACACCGTGTCTTAGACAAGCCCAAGTTACAAAGGGCTTTTAAGAAATGACTAATTAACCACAAAATCTGGATTTAAACTACAAAAGGTTACAGATAAAGAACAGTTATTCCACTTATCTCCAGCTGGCTTAAATGATTCTATGCAATCACAGTTATCTGTCAGCAAGTAGCAATGAATAAAGAAATCTGGCAATTTGCGCTAAAAAGGTATAAAAATCTTGCAGGTGGTTTATTTGTAAGATTATAGTCAAACTAACAGACTCCTTTGAAAATGACTGGGGTTCAGGACAATATGGAAGACAGACATTTAGAGTTGGAGTTCAATCACTACATAATGTCTGTATCATCATTAGCCAGGAGTTCTAGGCAAACTCATCCCTTTAGGTCCAAATATGTTTTGAGGTTTGAAACTAGTGAGAACAAGTAATAACATTTCCCTTAGTTGAACTTATTAAGATGAGTTTAGCTCAGAAATATTAATTGCACATCATGGTTGCCGGAATATTCTGACAAGGAGCTCGAGGCCCATTTTCTTTCTTTTTAAAAATGAAGACTTTAGGGAAAGCAAAGCAGAGAGAAGAAAAGAAAAGAAAAGAAAAATCCTCTTCTATCTTGCTTACATAAACGGGCTGTGAATTGGACCAGGAGGAACATTCTGAGTTCTCCATGTGGAGAAGAAAAGGCTAAGTTCATTTTGTCACTGAGGTCCCAAAGGTGCTTTTCAAAAGGCAAACGAAAAGTGAAACATTTACAAACGTTTTGAAAAGCACCTTTAAAACACTGATGACCTGGACGATTGAGAATCTCTACAGACATTTGTCACTGAGATGAAATCAAGGATTACACCTATAAATTCTCTCCTAGTTGTTTTTTTCCACTGACCTACAGCTCACCCTTCTTTAAGCATATTCTCTCTGATCCAGTTCTGAAAGACATCCAAAGAGAATCAGACAAACCATGAAATGGAAACAAACCCCCACAACTTCTTAAGTGAGGACAGTCAATAGGGAAGCGTTTAGAGTAATCTACTTTGTTAGCTCAGGAGTTTCGAGAACAATAGAGACATTCTTCTTCCCCCAGCAGCAAAATTATTACATGTAGCATATCAGGAGCATCATTTTTTTTGCTGAAACAATTAACAAAGAACCATAGTGTGGTTCATAATTTAATGCCTAAAGAAATATTTATGATTAGTGGGAAATTGCAAAAACAACAATAAAGCAGTATAAGTGCTAATATTCTAATGTTCTACTGAACAGACGAGAGGAACAGGAACAGCCTTTTGACTTCACCCATGTTTAATGTTAAAGGAGTCCTTGTATTCTGTAGAGACCTCTTTCATGCAATAGTGAAGCCTGATCAGCTGCTTATTATGATTAAATGCACCATATTAAATATATTGCTTAGCTGTATTAGTTTACACTATGTATATATGAGGCGGAGGACAGGAAAATTGGAGAATCACCGACATGTGAGCACAGCTTTCATGGTTTAATTCTCTCTGTGCATCCAGTGATATGTGGAATGGAAAGTAGGCAAATGTTTTAAGGGTCTTTAACAGAACATAGCAAAATAAATAAATGCAGCAATGGATTTTAATGGGGAGCTGCTAGTTTCTATTTCTGTGACTGGGAAATAATGTTAATTCAATGATGTGCAATTCTCATTTTTAAATAATTTATAGTTCACAGAAGATGTAATATTCACAGAATAGTAGATAAGATGCAAGAATCGGGACTATACTTTATTTCCTTGCTTGAGGACCATTAGTTTCCCCAAACATAAAAGAACCAACAATATTGTCAAATAATATAATTTGATTTGAAAGTAGTTTTCAGGAATATGAAACTCAGATATAAAATAAGAAATTAATTATTCCAATAAATATAGGTAATATGGTAAGCATAATTTTCTAACAGACAGACAAATACCCACTGGAAAAGGAAACAGAAATAATAATCAAGAGATCTTTGGTAAAACAGCTGTGAAATCCATTAATGTACATTGCTTTATTAATCCAATGTTATAGATCTCTTGCTCTCATTTTATTTCCACACAGAAGTGCAGGGCATCTGTAGCATGGAAATAATTATATATTTATTTAAAGAGGTAGTAAGCACTTCCAGCTATTTAAATCATACCCTGCAAATTCACTAAGTATAAAATATTTTTGATAACATAATATAGGAATTGTGGGTCTAAGAATTTTCCAGAGAGAGTCCTTTGTTCCATAGCTCAATATTACGGTAGTTGTTGTACTTGCTGAAATAATTGGAAGAAAATCCTATATTAAGTCTTGAGCATTAATGGCTTGTTCAGCTATCAGTTTCATTGCTGCACTCACATGGTCAAGTTGCAGAGATCATCCTAGCAGGAGCTGTGCATAGCCATTATCTGACATATGAATCACTTAGGCTGGCCAAGGATGCAGATTTCTATGCAAGGGACTGGAAAAGGAAGAGATGCTCCCGATTTCAAAACCTACCTTTACTCCATCTGACTTTTTGTTCAGTAAGCTCTTGGCAGCTGCAAATAGAATTGAGAAAAGCATGTGAACCACATTTTAACATTATTTCTCTTTTCCTTAAAGCAGGTCAACATAAAAAAAACAAGCTAGATTCATTTTAGGCTGTTATTTGCTCAAAACAATAAAATTTGCATGAACAATAGCCTTACCAACATCCAAACCTTACACCACAATCATATTTTTTTAAAGGAACTGGACAAAACACAAATCATCAGAGCTTTTGAGATGTTGATATCTTTGCTTTCGTTATTTACTACCTCTGTCCCTTTCAGTAGCCAAAGCTATCAGCAAAGAAGCAATTAAAAACCAACTCTTAAATTGACATGCAGAAGAATTATCCCCTGAATCAGTGTTTTATATGACAAATTTTATTCTAGAAAGTCACAAAAGTTTTTTTTTAACATTTTAATGCCAAGTTGCCATTGTTACGTGCAGTGACTATTAAGATCTTTTGATTTCCTCCTGCACATAGACATGACGATAGGCAGATATGATATTCTTTGAAGAAATATGGCATGTGAAGTGGCTCATCCCTTACCTATAAAATGCAGAATAGAAAAAGTAAAAATTAAGTCTGAGTACTTTAGTACAATGAAAAATACAACTGTCCACTAAAATCCAATATAGGATAACATTAGGGAAAACTTGATTGCTGCTAATCTGGGCAGAGGTCAGATCGGCCGTTGTCAAGAGGGAGAATTCAAAAGAGACCGCTTATCAGATGAAGTTTACATGTTTCATTTGGAGAAGAGTAAGTTACTTTGTTTTTCATTTAACTAGCTTGCAAAGACGAAGACAGAATACACATAAAACCAGAACATGAATGTATAACAGAAGGACACCCAAAGAAGCTTGACATTCACTGAGGCCTATCCATGCCAATTACAATTTTCATATATAGTTTTCAAAATAAATTTTTGATCAGCACACTCAACACAGAAACATTTGCACACAAGAAACCTAGATCTTGTAGTTTATATTACAGAAATCATATACTGTAGTTGGAAGAGGATTTTTAGGGTCTGGACAGTACACATTAGTTAACAGTTCATGTCCTTTGAAAACTGTTCACATCCATGCAATGATGTATCAATTTAATCAGGAACAGCATATTTTGAATAGTGATATCTATACTACCCTTACAAAAATTATGAGGTTTTTGGTCACCTAAAGAACATGCTTTATGTTTTTAAAAATAAAAACACTAATCCAGGTGCTTAAAAGACCAAGAGTTTTAGTATTCTAATTTCCAGGAAAGATGTTCCAAACTTCAAAACACCCTGAAATGAAACTTGGGCTTTGTTTCATGGCGTTTGTTCCCTGAAATGACAGCCAACGTTTGGGGTTGTGATCTCTATCCCAACACCCCTTTTTTAGAACATACAGGCAGCATAAAAGCCTAATGATATCCAAGGGTCCTTATGGCTCTAGAATATTCCTCTATACATTATTTGGTCTGCTGGGCCAATGCAGCATATGTTTGGCCTTAAACAAGCTAGCAGCCGATTGAGGGGTACATTAAAAAGGTACATTAAAAAGAATTAAGTACCACATATATTTAATACGAAGTACAAGATTCACATTTATTTTGTAGCTTTATAAATTTTTAAAACCCAAGACCAGACAGATTATGATACTAATGAGAAAAATATGTACAGAATACACTAGCTGGATTTGGTTTCCTATTCACTAAATATGGAATCTAAGGCCTAATCTGAAATGTTGTTAGATAACATAATCCTGTCCCTGTGAGTCATTTAAATGCAAACAACATTAAAATTATGTTTTATTCATTTATACACTATCCATTTTCAAAGGCCCTGTGCAGCTAATTACCAAGATCAATTTAAAAGGTACCTCCTTCAAAAATAATAAGAAAATCTACTCATAATATGAACAAGATTGACAATATCAACTATACAAACTCATGTGCCTGCCAGGATCCAACTTGACTCACAATATGCCCTTCCCCTGTGCTTGATAGAACAACCAAGTCTTAACTGCTTTTAATCGTTTTTCTTTTTTTTAATGAGGCAAATTTTTAAAACATGTAAGTGCAAGAATCTAAAGGGGAGAAATGGATATTCCTCCTCTTTTACATAACTCTGTTGTACAAAAATATTTCACATGTGAAGAAGACATGCTGGTTCATGTATGTTTCCATACCATGGGATAAAATTCAGGGTAGCAGAGAAGAGCTCTGAGAAATTAAGGCAAGATGTAATAAAAAGGCGCTGTTGCACTCATCTAGCAGGAAACCAATTTATGTTTAAGCTTGTGTAATTAAACCCTAATCCATTCCAGATCTCGAATTCCTATACTGTAGTTTTATTTGCAGCATAAGGAAAATATCAAAGTTATCTACAGAAAGCTGATTCTGGAAAATTCAGCAACATATTTGGCAGAAAAAGAGAAGTCCTTATTCCAACTTTAATATGGTTATCATATGGAAATGAAAACTACCTCATGCAGTTAATCATACTAAAAAAAAAGAAAACATGAGAAAGGATGAAAAGTAATCCCTCTCTGAAGCTTTGAGACTTTGCCTTAGTTTTGCCTCCATCAGACATGATGCCATAGTGTAATTGAGACAACAGAGTGGCCCCTGAAAACCAATCCAACCTGGATATAGATTTTGTACACTATAAAGCAAGAACACCAAGAAATGCAATGTTCTTTATTGCAGTTGATGTAGTTACAGCGGGAGAATAGGCCTTCTGAATAGTGACATAAAATTCAGAGCTGGTTTCACAGAAGCCCAATGTTGGCCCTTTTCTGCCAAAGGAATAAGGTCAAGGTGTTCTTATTCCTGTCAGGCAGTTTCCCTCTGGCCTGTCAAAAATTAAGCTATTAGCATTGCTCTAGAATAGATCCTCTGATTCCACCCCAGGATTACCATTGTTTTTTTTTCTAAAAATGGTAATAAATAAAGATTAAGCAAGATACAAGCATTTGGAGGGAGGTCAGGAATAAATTATGTGGTCAAATCTACGTTAAGGTTACTGAAAATCTAACATAGATATTATGGGAATGGGAAGTCTGCATTTATAATATAGAGTGCAGACATTGAGAAGAGAATTAGTGGAAGTTATTCATTCAGCTCTGGTCAATGTAAAGAGTTGATATAATAGAAGGAAATCCCCAAGGAGCTGGCTAATGAGAGCACAGGAGGTCTTGAAATTCACCCATATTCTGATCTCATAAATCATCTGCAGCTCTTTGCCACACACTTTATAATTTAATTCCTCCTCAACATTCACATACACAGCAGGCTGGGAAAGGCTGATATTTATTAATCTACAAAACAGACCAAACCACCCCCCCCCCCCCCCCCAAAAAAAAAAAAAGAAAAAGAGCAAAGATACATTTTGCATGAAGCTTGGACTTTTAGATAACACACTGTTATCCAAAAGAAGAAACTTGGATGCCTACAATTAAGCACCACACAAGAACACAAAATTTCCTGGGATTACTTAGAAGACAAAACACACAGAGAATGCTTTTCTCAGCACAAGACAACAGATGAGCTGCAAAGAGGTTTTCCAGAGAATGTAACATTCTATATCTATACTCTGCAGATTCTGGGGACATACCACCATCCAATTCTAACTTACAGCTGTAAACAATATTAAAATGCATACTCACAATATTTATTGGGCAATTATATCCTGCCTTTGATATAGGACAGGGGAATCCAACCATTTTTGAACCGGGTTGTAATACAGTCTTTGAATAGCAAAGATAACGGATCACACAACACACAAAGGAAAGCGGCATTTAGTCTTGCAGGAATTATGTGTGGCCTAGGGGAATACTCTGTTTTAGTTCTAAAGATGGCACCCATGGGGGTTTCCCCCCCGTTTTAACAGGATCCTTACACAGTAGGCCAGGGTGGAGTAGGGTGAGAACAATGAAACACAAATGCTTCAATCTGACTTTTTGATTGCTTGAATCTGACTTTTCCTTAGTTATTATTCCATCTTGATTTTAATTCTCTGTTTTTAGTATTGGCCTAAATGACACATAATCTGCACCGAAATTTTTAAATGGAAATGAGCTTGCAATTGTGAAGGTATTACAAATAGTTCTTGATTTACAATAGTAATTGGGACTGGAAATCGAGTTGTAAATTGTTATGGTCATAAGTCGAAGCACCCACATGAACTGAAATAATTTTCTGACCTTTTTTTGTAGTGGTCATTAAGTGAATGTGACAGTTGTTGTGAAATGCGGTGCTCAATAATCAAACAGTATGAATCCATATAATTGAATGGCCTTTTTTGCCAAAAATCAGCAAAAAACCAGCGAATTGAAATCATGTGACCATGGAATACTGTAATGGTCATAAAGCTTATATGCAGTCATGTGACTGCAGTGGGGAGATGATGTAAGATAGTCACCAGTGCTTTCTGTGGCCATCATAACTTCAAATGCTTGTAAAATGACTGATTGTGAGGGCTATTTATATATCTTTAAAAAGTCAGTGGCCATAATGAATTTGGAAGCATTATGATTGTTAAGCTTAGCTAAAACTTAAATGTCAATTTGCCTTCGAAGGACAGATTCTGACTACGTTAGACTTACAAACTATTCCTGCCTTCCTTCTAAAGACAACAAAAATGTTCTATTCTGCAGTTGAAGTCCTTTCCTAAAATTATAGATCAACATTAACTAGGAATAATTTATCTGTTCCCAATAATATATATTACTGAAGTGCTTTCACACACATTTCTTCCTATTATTAGTCTAAACTATTTAAATAATTGATTAAAAATACGTGTGTGTAGCTTTACCTCCAGAATTGTAGATTCTAAAAACTAGTCCTGGAGAAAGTTGTTTGAAGCAAGTGGGATCATCCCTTCATAGGCATTTAAATATATCATAAGTAGTCCTTAGAGGGCCTTTAAACCTCACCATAATTCCTGTTTATTTATGAGAAATTACCAATTAGTCCAGTGTCTTTACATCAAAGGCAGGCAACACTGGTTCTGCTACTTTTCAAGGAAAATTCCTTGCAAGAAAAGCTAGTAGCCTGAAAAATAAGTGTTCCCATTTCCTCCACTGAGTATTATATTATGGGCTCTCCTCGTGTATCTAATCACAGATTTCAAATATGGCACAAATTGAAGAGATGCCCACTTTGGCTGCAAGCAAATTTCTCCTAGTCTAGTTTTCATATCAGAAGTTAATTAGGCTGGGGAAAAAACTGCTTGCTCAGTGTGGTGGAGAATTTCTCCTCACACCACTCTATGTATTCCATTCCATTTAAAAAATTCAATTTCTCATAAAAAAGAAATGTTGCCTCTAGTCACATATAAGTTGCAGATGCCTGCTCACACACCTAATTGAGTTGGATAAAATGCACTTTTCATTTATACAGAGACTCATTATAATGCAATAGTGATTGCATTTTGAACTAATGTGGCTTTTAAAGAATGATTTATAATTGGTGTATATCTGATAAGATAAAGCTCTTTCTTCAATTAGTTTAATTTTGAAGATTGCAACACTAACTTTGAGACCTAGTAACTGCTTTTGATGAACACCAAGGCTGGTTTTGTTCCTGCAGATTCTGGACATGCACTATTTACTAAACCAAAACCCTACTCCTACAGTCTGCAACAGGGAAATTAAATCACAATACATCCAAAATCTGCAATATATATTCAAATATATTGCACGAATTCATACATTTTGCATGAAATGTCACACATGTAGGTGCACCCAGGTAGAAGCATGGAGATTAAATTAATAAGTAGGAAGAAGATAAACTGCGATGAGAGGGTCCTTATTCCACCTTCTATTCTAAGGGGCCTCATCTGATAAGCAAGGGGATCATGGGAAATCTTGTGTGCATTCAGTAGTTCTAGGAGCACACCTGTAGGTCCATAAAGAAATCCTAGGGAGGTTGGCTCAGCTCTGGCTCTAAAGTCATTAGAAAATACTCTGAAATTTGTCAACTGAGCACCCCACATTGTATGCTTCCCATTTAAGCAACATTCAGGCTATTGACATATTTATTTGTCCCTGAACACTTTTGTTTAGCTGAAGAACAATTACCAATAGGAAATTATCTGGCCTTTGAAGCTTTTTCCGAATTTGGGATTAATGCTTCTACCAGCACACTCTTTTCCTGCCTTTTTTGGGGGTGGGCGGGGGGGGGGAGATTTAACAGAGGACTTAACAGATATTTTCCATTCTTAAATGATAATAATTTTGGAAGTACAAGACCAATGTTCTTTATTGAATAAAAGTTAAGTGTCTTTGCCAGTACAAGAAACCTTATCCCACTGCTTTTTATCTTTTATCCCTCAAATTTTAACCTGCAGTCAAATATAATTACAAACAGGATGCATAATATTGAATCCTACTGTGTGTCGCTGCTTATCACCAATCCGTATAAGAAAATAGCAGGCTAATCTTATGCTATCCTCCTATAAAATGGTAGATGTTATTAAAAAACAAAATTCAGAATCTGCTAACAGATTGATATCCTCCTAAGACATTCGTGGCTGTAGGAGCCATAGCAACTTTCTGAAACTATTTAAAAATGTACTGACACTATGACAATCCCTGTCTCCATATGTCTTCCGTCAATTCACAGCAAAACAGGGTTAACTACCCAACATGCATTTTGTTAGTAGGTTCAAACTCAATGTACTTATGATACTTGGTTAGATGGATACCTTAGTGCATGCCCTTTTCTCAGCCAGCAAGCATGGATGGTGTGTCTCACTAAGTGCACAAATACTATCATGCTGGTTTTTACTGGCAGTGGAATTGATCAAGGGAGGGCAAGTGTGTGGGTCTAAGATCAGGCACTCAGGAGATACGACTCATGCCACATACCTTGCTCAGCCAGGCCGGCAGCACTCATGGTGGCCGAAGCAGGGGCGGAGCTCTGCCTGCCAACTGATTGGACACAATCATTCAGTGGGAGGAGCCATAATAAAGCAATAAAGGCCCATTAGCATGGTGCAAGTAGATTAGTTTAAAAAGAAATGTGGAAAAAAAAAAGAAAGGTAAGAAGAGGGGAAACACAATATTATAAAAAAGATAATATTATTCCCTTTTAAATATGAAGATAAAACCACAGGAGCCGGCACAAAGGGTTGGACATCAGGAAGTTGAGAAAGCTGCAGGTTTTAGATGTAAACAGTGTTTGTAAAACAGACTTTCAGTTATAGAGTTTTATGTCAACAAAATCAAAGACGAAGGTATTAGCTGCAGAACAAAGACTAGAATGTCTACTTTAAAATCACAAAAGGAACTGGATGATGCTATGTACACCGGTTGCAACAGGTTGTGTTACTGTATTAAAAGAACAATTAAAGAAATAAAGGCAAATAAATATTAGAATGATCAGTCAACCAGTTGGCTTGATTTATGAACAGCAGCTTCATCCACTGTGTATTTAGTGAAGAAACATGAATAAGGAAATCAGTATTCGTTAAGAAGAATGAAGTGCTGTCCTGGGATTGAACTAGTTTATTAAAGTACTTTAACTTTTTGCTCTCTAGAAAAATACAGATATTTAGCTCAGGATTCTTTATTATCCTCCAGTCTGAAAAGCACTCACAGAGGTTCAAAAGTTTCTGATGATTATTGATTCAGAACTGTAATTGTCAGATAAATAGCAAATAAGTCAAAGTCTGCAATTTGTTAAATTATTCAGGTTATTTCAAAGCCAAAGAGGAAAATGTGTAATTCTACCTCACCAGTTAGAGTAATGGAAATATTTTAGTGTCTTAGTAATGCTACAGAACCACTAATCTAAAATAATAATAAAAATATAATAAAGGATAGCATTTCAAAGTAGCATGGAAGCTGGAAAACAAATTGCTTTGAAAAAGGAGAGGATTACACAGATTTTTTTCAAGGGAGCAGTTGCCTTTTCAAAGAAATGCAGTCAGCCAACAGCAAACTTATTTTAGCAGTTTAAGGCTATTTTCTTCTCTAATCCAAATGAAAGCAAAGAGGTCAATAGGCAGGCTATTATATTATATTGAATTGTTTATTTCAAGAAGTAAGGCACTTCACTTATGTTTGCTCCTTTCCAAAGCTGTGTACCATAGAGAACACTGGTCTACAAGGAGAAAGCCTCAGAAATGAAAGTACCAGTAGCTTAATTTTACCAGAATTTGGTCATTAACAAAGAAAATTAAGTCCTGAGTATTAATTGGCTGCAGTTTCCAAGGTCAAAATTGCATCAAGATAATTCAAAATTATGAGGGGGGCGTGCTCCTAACTTTTCTGCAAAATATGAGAATGGTAACTCACCGATCATTATAAATTTATCTTTTTATTGTTACCAATAACAATTTTCCATTCATTTAATGGTTTTTCATGTAATATTTTCATGCTTTTTGCATGAAAAACTGACAAGCCCTAACATCAGATTAAATGACAAGGTTCAATCTTTATTCGGTATCTAAAACTATGCTTTTTGGCTTTTCTCTTGTGAACTGCAGTACCATCCCTGGGGAGATTCCATCAGTAATCGGCAAGCATTGACGGACTCCATTTCCTTCGGTATCTTTCCTCCATGCCTGCGATATCCTGGTGGAATCTCTCCCCAGGCTCATCACTCACTGCCCCACAGTTCAAAGGGAAATAATCTAAGTGTGAGTGTAAGATGTGAAGGTTCAGCGACCTGTTTGCACTAAGTACTTTACAGGACCTAAGCAAGTTTGCCACCTGTTTTTCATAGTCATCTGCCTTGCTGTTCTCAAAGTGAAGATAAATTTACACATTTCTATGTAGTACCATTTTCATTGTTCTACCATACTTTGTCAAGAAGTTACGAGATATCGTAACTATTAGAAACCACCTCTCTTTAGGCAAATATACTCACCCGTGTATAAATCTTTATTGTGAAATATCTTGAAAACTTTAGATATTTGAAATTAGAATTCATCCAGAGGTGGTATTCAGCAGGTTCTGACCAGTTCTGGAGAACCGGAAGCGGAAATTTTAAGTAGTTCATAGAACTGGCAAATACAGGAAAACGGAGCTGGAAATCAGGTTAGTGGGGTGGGGAGGGAATGGGGATTTTACGATATCCTTCCCCTACCATGCCCACCAAGACACGCCCACAGAACCAGTAGTAAAAAATTTTGAATCCCACCACTGAATTCATCTAATCAAAATATGTAAAATTAACACATTTTATCTTGGAGGTCTATAATTTCCCAAAATTTGTAGACCAGTGAATGTAATGTAAGAAGAAAACAGAGGGTTGAGGCTGCTCAAGGACATCTGATGGCTTTATCACTCAGCTGAGATTTAAATGGGAGATCTGACACCCATCGTTCATATTATGGACTGTACCGGTTTCCCTCTGAAGTCCTTCAACAATCTGCTGTGGCACTTACCCCGTGTAATAGCCTCCCCTGAAGATCTAGATGACCTTCAACTGCTGGTCTGTAAAGCCTGACATTTTCCACAGGCATTCAAGCTGAATTGCTACTGAAGCCCAATATAGGTAATCTGCGACTGAGGATAATGTGTAAACTGCCTCAGCTTTTATTACTGTGCATTTAATATGTTTATATTTGTATACTGTGTTCTATTTGTATATTATTATGTTTTCATTAGATATTTATGCTGCTTTTTTTTCCAAAAAGTTTTTATTTTTTTCATTTTTACACATCTCTGTGTGGGCAACATGGTTCCAGATTATAACACTTGAACATAATCATACTTTCATTTCCACCAATCTTATATGATGTCATCTCATCTCATTATCCATTTCACCCATCTTTAAATAAATTTCCATTTCATATTTCAATACATTAATTCAATATCAATATCACTTCATCCATATATAGATTCCCATTTCTTTATCCCCTATTATTTCAGTTTTCAGCTTACCACCTATTTTATTTAATATTACACATCATTATTATCCTTAATTTTCCCTAAGCCAATTATATAATAAACAATATAAAAATAAAAATAAAAACCAATATATTTAGGATCCACATGGTATATCCCCTCGATCTATCTAATTTAATAATTCACTCCCCAGCTTTAAACTTATTCACATTAAATAATCAACTGTATATTTTAAAATATATATATTTTGAGATATCTCCCCCTGAAATCACTAAAATTTATCTATGTTCTAATACATTTCCATTCCCGTTTTAATCCTCCAATGTAAGAGTTCATAACAGCATAATTCATATACAACCCAACCCTAATCCTAAAATAATTTCCAACAAGTTTTAAACTAAATGCCAATATACATTCCCTTATACAATCCCAAACCCTTATCTCTAAATCTTGAAACGTTATCATACCTTTTAATTTGGGCTAGGTTTCCCTTTTCTAAGTTTCCCCAATCTTTCTTCTTTTTTCCTTCTAATTTTATTTTTATTTCCCTCTGCCTGTCTGCCATGTTTCCCCCCCTTTTCAGTTCTCTTTCTTGGGGTTTCTTCTTATGTATTCTCCTCCTCTTCTTCTTAGTCTTGAGTGTCTTTCTTTTATTTATTGTCTCTAACATCAATGTCTCTGTTTTAAGTCTTTTTATGTCCTTTGACAATGATCCTTGTTCTTCATGTTCGTCAAGGCTGTTATTTCTCTCTTTTAATTCATCCTCTCTGGGCTTCCTTTGTTCTTCCGCAAACTGTGACACCATTACTTTACTCAGAATTAACTCCACCAATCTCATTCTTTCTTTAAACATCTCTCTCACATTTTGGAGCTCCTACTTAAATTCTTTGCTTATTTCTTCCATTTCTTTGGTCTATTAAGTTATTCTTTATTTTATTAAAAGTCAAATTTTTCTGTTATGGTCCTTGTCAAAAGTCTCCGTTTTAACTGTAATCCCCTCTTCTTCTTTTTTTTATAAAGCTTCCGGGGATCTTGTTATATACAACCAGCAATTTTCCATAGAAACATAAAAGAAGGAAATCTTTAACCCTTAGGTGGTGCTCTATATCACTTTCTTCTTAGAATTCTTTTATTTTTAATTCACTTTTCCGTAGCATTAATATTAGATTTAACCAATTCCAAATAAGTCCTGCATTTTATCCAATGCCTGATTAATGTCCAATTCTGTATGTTATTCCAAATTTAGTCTCTAATCACATATAATTATTTTATTTCCGGATTTTTCTTTACCTTATATTTTCCTATTTCTCGTTCACCACTACCACTCTTCCAAATGAGGGCTCTTTCTTTCCGCTTTTCGGGGTTATCAAAAAGAATATTCAAACTCTTTTATCCAGTTACACATTGCTCACCACTTTCACTCTCCAGCACAAAACTTGTGTCCCGGCAGCTTCCTATCTTCAGGGCAGCCATTAAAAGACTGCCACTTCTTTCTGTCTTCTAGGGGAGTTTGCCTAGCCAGGGAGGGGAGATGCGGCTCCCCTCGACCCAGCTGGTGGTTTCCCCCTCTTCCCCCCACCCCTACGAGGTGGGTCAGATGGATTCGGTCCTTTAAGGAGCCCTCAAACAGGGTAAGCACAGATCAAAGCCACACACAATCATGGTCTCTGATCCATCGTCGACCAGAACACCACCGGAAGCCCATATATTTATGCTGCTTTTATCATTCTGTACTGTAAGGCTCCCAGATTAATTTGCTTAAGATGAGCAACCATATAAATTTCCTAAATAAATATCCATTTTGGAGTGGACCCCCAAAAGACTTCACTGAACAGGAAAACATTTTATTAAGACCAGATTCCCTGCAGAAGAAATTCCAGCATTGTCAAGAATAGAACAATGAATGTATCCAAATCCCTCCACCAAACATGAAGCAAGCTATCCACACTTAGAATTGTCATACTCCAGATGTAATTTTCAGTGGCATGTGAGATTGTACACGTGGCCAAAAACAACTGGTTTTTCAACAGATAAAAAAATACATATCTGTGACCCATTAGTTTAATATCGATTGT